CCAAGGCCATCTTATAAAATAATCACTCAGTAACTTATATTAATTATAACTCCTTGGCCATTAGCTCAGGATTATTACTGACTAGCTCTTACACTTGAATTAACCTATGATTCTTATCTATGTTTAGCCACATGGCTTGGTACCTTTTCTCAGTTCTGCCTTCACATCTTGCTTCCTCTGTGTCTGGCTGGCGACTCAGCCCTTCTTTTTCCCAGAATTCTCCTCATCTGCTTATCCCGTCTATACTTCCTGCTTAGCTACTGGCCAATCAGCATTTTATTTATCAACTAATCAGAGCAATACATATTCACAGCATACAGAACAACATTCCACAGCAGGTAACCCCTCACCCACATTTCTGTAAGTAATCCCAACAAACTTAATGCTTTACCAGGTTGAACTTTTGTGGTATCTTTGGTTTGTCTTTGATTCCCTGTCTGAGATGAGTGGACACTTGTTTACATCTCCCCAGGAATAGTATCACTCAACATGTCCACCACAGCACTTCATTTTTAACTAATTAGTTAAATGAATGTGGATGTTTTGCCCCCACGTATGTCTGTGCACCATGTGTGTACCATGGAGGAAGTCAACGTCAGATCTCCTGGGACTGGAGTCACAGGCAGCTGTGAACTACTACATGGGTGCTGGAATCAAATCCAGGTCCTCTAGAAGAGAAGGCAGTGTTCTTAACCACTGAGCTACCTCTTCCCTCCACATAGCACTTTGAATCATAACTTTCCACCCATAGCCCAACTGTCACATTTTTTTTTTTTTTTTGGTTTTTCGAGACAGGGTTTCTCTGTAGTTTTGCGCCTTTCCTGGAACTCACTTTGTAGACCAGGCTGGCCTCGAACTCACAGAGATCCGCCTGGCTCTGCCTCCCGAGTGCTGGGATTAAAGGCGTGCGCCACCACCGCCCGGCAACTGTCACATTTTCATCCCATAATGTAAAATTCATTTCCTCTTTCTTTGGAAGTCTTTTCCCCTCCTAAGACAGGGTTTCTCTGTGTAGATAGCCCTGGAACTCTTTCTGCAGACCAGGCTGGCCTCGAACCCAGAGATCCACCTTCCTCCCAAGTGCTGGGATTAAAGGTGTGTGCCGCCACTGCCTGGCTATCAAGACAATCTCTGAATGGGAATTTCATCCCTATAAAATAAAAAAGCAAGTTGCGTACTTCCAATACACAAAGACACAGAATAAATTTCCCCACTACAAAAGGGAGAAATGAGAGTGCAGCAAGACTAAAAGCCATCAAGAAAAGCACACAACTTCAGCTCCACCCATATCCAGCACCTGGCTCTTGTGACTGACTCATGCAGGTTCCAGCAGTCCTGCCTCTCCAGCGCTGTCCACTGACGCTCACTCAGACTCTCTGCTCTGTGCACGAAGCTTTCCTCTGTGGACACTCAATGGTCCTGACGTTTCCAGCATCTTCTGGTTTCCACTGGAACTTAGGCTTCATCTTCTCACTTTTTTTTTTTCTTTTTGGTTTTTCGAGACAGGGTTTCTCTGTGTAGTTTTGGTGCCTGTCCTGGATCTCACTCTGTAGACCAGGCTGGCCTCGAACTCACAGAGATCCGCCTGGCTCTGCCTCCTGAGTGCTGGGATTAAAGATGTGCGCCACCACTGCCAGACCATCTTCCCAGTTTTAAGTAATCTGCTTTCATGCCCTCCATGCAGGGAATCTTACCCAGACACACATTGCTTGGCCTCAGAGGATTTCTGGAATTTTGATTTCTGGAAATTTGGTATAACTCATCCACCCCTCATGCATCTTTCAAACTTGCAAAAGAATTGCCAGATGGAAGATGCTAAGTGTTGCTGTCAGTTTGAGATACTGCCTGGACTTTTCTTGGACCACAGCTATGGTGATGTATTGTGTCCCCCAATATACTGTGTCTCCCAATAAAATTTACCTGAGGATCAGAGGAAAAAGCCAGCCACAACATAGAAGTCAGGCAATGGTAGCACACGCCTTTAATCCTTTCACTTGGGAGGCAGGGATCTGTCCGGATCTATGTGAGTTCAAGGTCACACTGGGAACAGAGCCAGGCATGGTGGCACATGTCTTAAATTCCAACACTAGTTAACCATGGAAGTCTGGAGGTCTGTACAGATAGACAGGAAGTGACAGAGCTGGGCAGGAAGAGGAAGTGATGTAGCTGGACAGAGAGAGCAAATCAGATGGCAGAACAGCAAGGCATATAGGTGTGGGTAGACAGGAAATAGCTCACCTTTTGGAAGCTGCAGAGTTGGTGAGGTAGGGCTAGCTGTGGTTTTCCCTATTTCCCTGATCTCTCAGGTTTTCACCCTCATATCTGGCTCCATGTTTTTTATTTAATAAGACAGTTTAGCAATTCGTCTACACCACAGCTGCTGTGACCTCTGTGTGCCTTTGAGGTTAACCTTAGGAAAACCCCTCTAGGTGGCCATTTTGCAGTAAGTATTCTCTTTAGCAATATTCCTCATATATAAAATTTACTATCACTATTCCTCCCCTCCCCCTCCCCCTCCTCCCCTCTTCCTCCTCCTCCTCCTCCTCCTCCTCCTCCTCCTGGTGTGTGTGTAGGTACATTATGTGTATGGTACATACGAGGAGGTCAGAGAATAACACTGAGGAACTAGTTCTGTCCTTTACACACGGGACCGGACTAAACTCATCAGGCCTCTGAGCCACCCCACTGGCCCACAAATACATTGGAACCATTCATGGTTGGGACCTTGCACTAGGACATATCCTGTGGGGCCAATGCAGTCCTGTGGGACTAATGCAAGTGTGAGGTTTCTTTTGATGGTGTTAATCTTTTAACATTACTGAACTTCAAATGTGCATGCTTCCTTCTTATTCAAACTGCTTTTTTTTTTTAAATCTTTCTGCTCTACTTGCTCTCACTGTGTACCCAGATACGAACCCTGAACAGTAACCATGGCATAGCTTGAATGGCAGCCATCTTAGAAATTCTTCTGTCAAACAAATAGTCCATTGTTTTTTAATTCAGCTTTACTCAGGTTCTCACAACATGGGCAGAATGTAGCCAGATTCTTTAAAAACATTTTTTTTCCATTTCATTGTATGTGTTTTGCCTCCATGTATGTCTATGTACCACATGCATGGCTGGTGTCTGTGGAGGCCAGAAGAGGACATTGGATCCCCCAAGAACTGGTGTTATAGACAGTTGGGAACTGCCATGTGGGTGCTGGGAAGAGCAACCAGTGCTCTTAACCACTGAGTCATCTCTCCAGCCCTGCAGCAAGATTCTTCACCATATTACAACATGAATGACCTCTAGCTCAGTTCCCAAGAGAGGTTGGTTTTTTTTTTTTGTTGTTTTGTTTTGTTTTGTTTTGTTTTTTTTTGAGACGGGGTTTCTCTGTGTAGCCCTGGCTGTCCTGGGACTCACACTATAGACCAGGTTGGCCTCAGACTCACAGAGACCCCACCTGCCTCTGCCTCCTGAGTGCTGGGATTAAAGGTGTGCACCACCACTGCCCAGCCCCAAGGAGCTTTGATCCCTGCTGAAACCTCATGAACTGTGAGCCTCCACTGTCCACACATCTCTCAGCACGCTACTGTCCAAACTCCTACCATCGTGGCCCATCGTTCTCTGCTTACAGCATTCTGGAGCTTTTCTAGATAGAAGTTCCACACTCACCCTCACTCCTCTTGCAAGCCAGGCCCAAAGCCTGCGAACCACACAGTCAGACTGATCACAGCACTGGCTTCTTCACTCGACGCCAGCTTTGCACATTAGTTACTTTTCTTGCTGTGACTAAATACCCAGTGAAGGCCACCTCAGGAGGAGAGGGTGATTGTGGCTCACAGTTTAAGAGTACAGGCCTTCGATGGGCGGTGGTGGCACTCGGGAGACAGAGGCAGGCGGATCTCTGTGAGTTCGAGGCCAGCCTGGGCTACAGAGTGAGTTCCAGGACAGCCAGGACTGTTATACAGAGAAGCCCTGTCTTGAAAAACCAAAATAAATAAATAAATAAGAATAAAAAGAGTACCGTCGCTCTTCCTGGTGGGGAAGTCCTGGTGGGGTGGTAGAAGGCAGCTTTTCATGTTGTATCTGAATTCAGGAAGCAGAGAGGGCAATGAATGCTGGTTTTCATCTTGCTTCTTCCTTTTAATGTTTTTAGTTAACACATATCAATCCTGCCTAACAATGGGTCTTATGGTGACATTTCATACAGATGTCATGTATTTGGACATAACACTCTCCATTACCTGTTATTGTCCCTGCCCCATTTATTTCCCCACCTAGCTCGTCTCCCTTCTACTTTCATGCCCATCTATCTATCTATCTATCTATCTATCTATCTATCTATCTATCTATCTATCTTTATCTTATGTTCAATTGACGTTTTGCCTGCATGTGTGTCTGTAGGAAGGTGTCAGAAGCCCTGGAAGTGGAGCTACAGGCAGGTGTGAGCTGCCATGTGGGTGCTGGGAATTGAACCCAGGTCCTCTGGAAGAGCAGCCAGTGCTCTTAACTACTAAGCCATCAGTTACTATCTTTCACAACTTGAACTAGATCTCTGCACACCCTTGGGCTTTTACCTTTCATTCTGTTGAATGAATAATGGTGTTATTCTGATGGGCCTGCCTTAGTATGTAAATCGGTGTTTTTCTCTAGCAGCTCTTAAGCTGTGGGGGGACCCAGAGCCCATACCCAGCTCTCTCTCCTGCCTGCACCCCCCCCAGTTTGACCCCTCCCATCTGCTTCCTATCTGAATTCTGGCTCCTCAGCTGGGAATTTTATCTTCAGAATCGGACCTAGTCGGTCCCAGCAGGGCTGGATTCTTTGTTTCTGGAAGTCTTGTCTCCGTCCGGAACTTGGATTACTTGGAGGTTGAACTTGAATTCTACCGGGTTGTGCAGCTGGTGGGCAGAGACTCGGAGCCTCTTGATTCTGCACCGAGAAATGCTGCCCTGCTGTCCCCCGACCTGCTGTGCAGAGGGCCTGGGGAGGCAGGAGACACCTTTGTCCTGGCTCAGATAGATGGTGTTGAAACCTCAGAGCTCGTGCCTGCCTGGGCGGGTGACTCGGAGTTGGCTCAGTGTGCTTCGGATGGGCTCCGCCCCCCTCATTTTGGCCTCTTTCCCGGGCTAGGAGGCCGCAGCTAGGCCTGGGAAGGATGATTGGCTTAGCCCAGATCATCAGTGCACACAGTCAGAAGCCAGGAACTAAAACATTTCCAGAGAAGAAGAGAAGAGGTCTCCTGGGACTCATTGCTCCAGAGAGAAGGTGCCAGGCTTGGGAACACCGGGAAGGCCTTGACTGAACAGTGGGAGATCTGTCTACAGCTGGGGTGGCCCCGGGGAGCCCGCTGACTCTGGAGGCCAGTGATTTCCGGTTACTTTGCCACTTCCCGGTGCTCTAGTCTGGGCCAGTCTAGACTCTTAACAGTTCCCAACTGTCTGTCGCTCTCCTTCGTGTTCTCTCTCACTGTCTCTCCCCTGCGTTGCCCTGGGTGTCCCTTCTCCTTGCCCTGTTCTAGTCCTCTAGGTCACTATCCCTGTCCAGTGACCCCGGCAATCCATCTCTGTCTCCTGGGCCTCAGAATTTCATGCTCTGCCCATCTGCCCTGCAGGATGCTACAGCTGAGCTTGTCCTGGCTGGGTCTGGGGCCTGTGGCTGCCTCCCCATGGCAGCTTCTGCTGCTGGGTGGGGCCTTGTTCCTGGCCCGAATTCTGGCCTGGATCTATTCCTTGTATGACAACTCCTGCCGGCTCCACTGCTTCCCTCAGCCCCCTTCCCGGCACTGGTTTTGGCGTCACATGGGCATGGTGAGTATGGCAGCACATGTGTCAGGATGAATGTGTTCTCAAAGGATCAGGAAAGGTTCTTAGGAATCTGGGGGTCATGAGAGGGCTGGGGCCTACAACAGCAGAGAGGTGAGGGAGGCTCTGCTCACACACCCAGCAGATCCACTCCTTGCCTGTCTGCCCACACGGTGCTCTGAGGCTTTCTTCTTCTTCTCCTTCTCTTTCTTCTTCTTCTTCTTCTTCTTCTTCTTCTTCTTCTTCTTCTTCTTCTTCTTCTTCTTCTTCTTCTTCTTCTTCTTCTTCTTCTTCTCCTTCTCCTTCTCCTTCTCCTTCTCCTTCTCCTTCTCCTTCTTCTTCTGTTTTTCCCCCTTTCTTATCCCTAGCTAACTTTGGGTCACATTCTCATCAGGACTCATGGTCTGAGGTCTCATCCTGTTGTTTGTTCAGTACTGTTCTGTGTTGTAGTTCCAGACCCCCAGGACAGGTTCCCCCATGTGCTCTCCTCATTTTCCATGGTTGGGTTTGAGGCCCTGTAGTGGAAGGCATGTGCTATGCCCCTTTCCTGGCCCATCTCTGTTGTCCTCAGGCCAGTGTCTGTACCTCTCCAAGACGCCTCTTCCCCTGTGGGAATGAGCTACGATCCTTATACTTCCACCTAGAGGGACACTGAATGTCAGAAGAAGAGATGTGATCTTTCCTCTCCAACTCCTCAGGTTCTGTTCTTTCTTATCTAGCTCTCCATTCTCAAAGTGTGTCAGAGGACTCTACTGTCCAAGTTGTGCTGAAGTTGAGCACTCTGTTTTCCTTTGTGGTGTCGAGATAAGACACTGAATGTCCTGTGCTCCCTATGAAAGGTTTCCATCACTACCCCAAATTCTTCTTCTCCTTCTCCTTCTCCTTCTCCTTCTTCTTCTTCTTCTTCTCTTTCTCCTCCTCCTCCTCCTTCTTCTCCCCTATGTGGCCTCTTCCATAATGGCTACACTTTCTGGGAGAAGCAGTATATAATCACATGCTTGACTATCTCCTTTTCCAAGCAAAAACATATGACTGTACACACTTTGGTAGATTTCCCTTCACCAGTGTCCTTCAGGGTTCAGAAAGGCTGTAATGTTACAGCTATCCACTTTTGGTTGGTGCCTATATAGCACATGGAAACACCTGTAAATGCCTAGTCTTCTGTTCAACAGATCACAGGACACACTTCATGAAGCTGTAGGTGCATGCTTAGGAACAGAAGGAGTTGTAAAAGGAGTAGGAACCATAGGTATTTTGGAATCCTCTTTAGTAATTTGCTGTGATTTCATTACCTGTGTAGGCTCAATCACACACACACACACACACACACACACACACACATCACTTTCATTTTATGATGGATTACTGCTGTGACTGTATCATTGTGTAAACTGAAACACTAACCCCCCAATTCTCTGCTTAATGGGGTCATATAGATAAATCTAGCTTGATCTAGGGTTATGTTCCTTCCATCACTAACCCACACCCTCAAAATCCATTCTCACATATATGTTCCAGGCCTCTTCTTATATAAACCAGAAACAACAGGAAGTTCTTTAGGAGTGTAGTATGACTTCTCATTGTGTATTCCATCTCTGCGGCCTGCTGAAACTTGAGTCTAGTTGTAGGTCTGGAAGTAAAGATGTGTGGTGAGGGTGGGTCCTGATTGGCATCAGAGGAAGTAGCATAGGTTATAGAACCTCAAAGCCTGTCCCTGGTGATGTATTTCCTCCAGCAAGGCTCCACCTCCTAAAGGTTCCATGACTTCCCCAAACAGCATCACCAACTGGGGACCAAGTGTTCCAATAACTGGGCTTACGTGGACATTTCTCATTCAAACCACCACAGTAACTTTAGGTTTAATCGAATTGCAGAGTTAGCGCCAGATTCCAACAACAGCCTTCTCCATCCCCAGATCCAGAACAACGAGGAAGGCCTGCAGCTGATGACTGAAATGGGCCACCACTTCCATGATGTCTACCTCTGTTGGTTTGGGGCTTTCTACCCGATCCTGACACTCACCCACCCCAAGTTCATTGCTGCCGTACTCCAGGCCCCAGGTGTTTCTCCCAGGATCGAATTACTGGTCTGTTCCCTTCCTTTTCTCCGAGCCCTTCCCATCCCTGCACAGGCCAGGCTGGGCAGGGGAGGGTGGAGCCATGTCAGACAGAAGTCAAGCCCTGCTGCTAACCCAACTGACCCTCGACAAGGTTTTGGGTTTCTCTAGATTCTGAGGTCTGTTAAGTGAGTGATGGAAATTCAACCCAGTGTGGTCTTCTATTGACTGGGGGTGTAGCTTTGCAGTGGAGCACTAGTCTGCAATGTACAGGGCCTTAGGCTGCATGCCTAGGCACTGAAATAAAAACAAACAAACAAACAACAACATCAAAACAACTATAAAGAAATTTGCTGGCAGAAAAGTCCAGGGAGAGTGGGAGGGTGGTCTTCAAGCACAGCTGGATTCAGGTCTCAACAATGCTGCAGGACCTTTATCTCTTAATTCCATCTTCCTCTGGGATGGTTGCATTCTCATGTGGAAAAAGATGATCCCTAATAGCTCAACCCCTTGAAAAAGATCCCTGTGGGTCCAGGATGAGTTCTGGGACCCCCTTAACTTTGTCTCATTTGGGCGATAGGACAGATTCTTCATCCACCACTGTGACTTAATTGCCTCATACTATTTTAGACATAAAATGACAAATAACCACTCCATCAATTCAGAGTGCATTCTTTTTTTTCCCCTGAGACAGGGTTTCTCTGTGTAGCCCCTAGCTGTACTGGAACTCACTCTGTAAATGAGGCTGTCTTCGAACTCACAGAGATCTGCCTGCCTCTGCCTTCCGAGTGCTGGCATTAAAGGCGTGTGCCCCCACTGCCCAGCCATTTTTGTGCATTCTTAAAAAGAAGCAAAATAGAAGAGGACAAATGTGTCTTCATGGCACTTTCTTTTCTTTCTTTCTTTTTTTTTTTTTGGTTTTTTTGAGACAGGGTTTTTCTGTGTAGTTTTGGTGCCTGTCCTGGATCTCACTCTGTAGACCAGGCTGGCCTCAAACTCACAGAGATCTGCCTGCCTCTGCCTCCTGAGTGATGGGATTAAAGGCATGCGCCATCACCGCCCAGCCAGCACTTTCTTAAAATGAAAATAAAAGGCTAGAAGACAAAGGCCTTTTGCATACTTAAGGTATGATCTTTCCCTACCTTTTTGATCCTTGATAAAACATCTCTAGTAATGAAATAAAATAAAAATATGGAGATCTGCTGGGTGTAGTGTGCACTCCTTTAAGGCCAGCAGTAGGGAGGCAGAGGCAGGCAGATCTCTATGTGTTCGAGTCCCACTGGTCTAGAAATTTATTTTTTCACAAACAAACAAACAAATCCACTTAATGGTCATTTTGTCATAGGATTCAGAATATAGCGTGGCCAAACATCATTACAATCACTCATCATTTTTATGGGGTCATTAGCATAATCAAATCTATTTATCAGGACACTTCTCGAGAGGTTGTTGCCAGGAATGGAGGCTATGGCATTCCTTCTAGCAGAGTTCTGAAGTAGACCAGGCAGACGAGAACTGAACAGAGCAGAAAGGTTTAGAGTTGGGGAAACTGATGCAGAAAGAGGCATACAGCACACCAGGACTCCACCCACCTTCTGGGCTGCATCAGCCAATTCTGATGAAAGGGACCTTAAACTGCAAAGTGACTTGGGAGGGAGGAGAAGATCCGGATGGGCCCAGCTGTGTCTGGCTGGCCCTGGAGCTGCCTGATGGCTGGAGGGGCAGCATCCTGCAGTCTTTGAGGACAGGGGAACCCTTAACTTTAAAGACTCAATGCTTAGCATGGTGTAAAAGAGGATACTTGGGAACCCCAGGGCATGTTTAGGACACATTTGGAGCATGAATGGGATACATTTAAATTCTACCTGGGGTTATCTGATGGGCACCATTAGATCATGTCAGACTGTTGTGTTCTAGTGCAGGACCATACTGTATCGTCTCAGGGAAGATCATATATGTTCATAACTGTGTCCCTGTCTAATGGGCAGACTGTGTCAGGACATGTCAGAGAGCTGAAATAGACAGTGAAATAGACAGCTGCAGCCTGGTCTAGCCTTGTCTCACCTCCTTCCTCCTCCCTGCTTCCTTTGTCCCTGTCCCCTTCCTGTCTTGGAGGGGGAGTGCACAGCCCTGGGGCTGAGAGTCCCCATCCACTCCCTAAATTTATCTTTCACTCTCCATGGCCCCTGACCGTTCTTCATGGCAGCTGCAGTGGCCCCTAAGGAAATGATTTTCTATGGTTTCCTGAAGCCATGGCTGGGTGAGTACCTCAAGGTCAGGGTCAGGAGACACCCTTGTTGCCCCGGAGAAAGGTGCCACCCTTGGTCACTGTCACGGCTGCCTTCCTAGGGGATGGGCTGTTGGTGAGTGCTGGTGAGAAATGGAGTCACCATCGTCATCTGCTGACACCCGCCTTCCACTTTGACATCCTGAAGCCCTATGTGAAGATTTTTAACAAGAGCGTGAACATCATGCACGTGAGTGTGTGTGTGCATGTTTGTATGGGATACTTTCTTTAAGATTAAATTTTTTTTTTTTTGGTTTTTTCAAGACAGGGTTTCTCTGTAAGATTAAATATTTTAAATATATATTTGCTTTATGTGTATGGGTGTTTTGCCTGCATGTATGATTATGCATTCCTAGTGCTTGTAAAGTCCAGAAGAGGGCACTAGCACTTCTGTAAGTGGAGTTATAGATGTTGTGAGTCACTGGATAGGTACTGAGAATTACACCCGGGTCCTCTGTAAGAGCAACAAGCTCTCCTAACTTCTGATCCATCTCTTCATCCCTGTATGGCTTAATTTCTGTACTCACATACCAGCTGACATTTATTGAGTACCTACTGATGTTTTTTCTGGTCCTACCCAGCCCCACAGACCTTGCAGCCACTTATAAACTCAGAAGCTCATATTAATTAAAACTGCTCGGCCATTAGCTCAGGCCTACCACTGACTAGCTCTTACATTTAAACTAACCCACAAACTAACGTGGTTTGGTACCTTTTTTCAGTTCTGCCTTCACATCTTGCTTCCTCTGTGTCTGCTGGCGACTCCTGACTCAGCCTTCCTGTTCCCAGAATCCTCTTCTCTGCTTGTCCTGCCTGTACTTCCTGCCTGGCTATTGGCCAATCAGCATTTTATCTATTAACCAATCAGAGCAACACATTCACGGCATACAGAGTGATATCCACATCATAAATGCTATGCCAGGTCCATGATCTATGTTGCCTGTTGTCATTTTCGCACCACCCTGAGGAAAAGGCGACTATGACAGTTACATTATGAAACTGGGGGCCACAGAGGTCAGGGAGCCCATCCAAGTTCATCAGCAATAAGTGTGAGGGGAGCAGGCATTGAAGTATGGTTTGTGGGACAACAGATGAGGTCAAACTAATTGTTGCCGAAGGTTTATCAAGTGGGAACCAGGAGAGGGAAATGCTCTGACCAAAGGTACACAGACGTTAGACTTGAATGCAAGGTTCCTGACTCCAGCTTTGCGTCTTCTCTTCTCCCACCAAGGTTTATGGACCAAGTGTGCTGTGTGTGTGTGTGTGTGTGTGTGTGTGTGTGTGTGTGTGTGTGTATGTGTGTGTGTGTGTGTGAACCCCAGTGCTTGGAGTTGAGGAGGGGCTCAGGAGCCAATGCCTTGTTCTGCTTCCTTCTCTGGCCAGGCCAAGTGGCGGCGCCTGACCGCCAAGGGCAGCGCCCGTCTGGACATGTTCGAGCACATCAGCCTCATGACACTGGACAGTCTGCAGAAATGTGTCTTCAGCTTTGACAGCAACTGTCAGGAGTGAGTCACTGTCTTTGCCTGAGAGCCTGAGGAACCATGGACCAAGGGAGGAGGCTGGAGAGGGAGGACTGACTGGAGGGAGCAGAGGGGACTCCCTGGAGGAGGTAGGACATAACTGACATGGAAAGACAGTGGAGAAAGAGAGAGTGGGTGCTGTCCTTTCAGGGAGGTAGGATTGTTTGGATAATGGCAAGGTGTGGCTAAGCAGTAAATCAAGCAGGCAAGGAGGGGCTCTTGTCACTATCTGAGAGAAACAACTGAAGAAGGAAAGGCTGGTGTTGGCTCCTGGTTTCAAAGGTGTCAGTTCGTCGTGGTTGGTGGGAAGGCATCATGGAGCTCCTCGCATTAAGAAGGACAAGAAGTGGAGAGGGAGAGATGGTCTGTTCTAGCAAGCTTCCTCCTCTGTTTCCTGTTCTTCCTTCTGGGCCCCCAGCCTGTGGGATGAGACTGTCCACATCAGGGTGGGCTTTTACCCCTCAGCCAATGCTCTGGGAAACATCCTCATAGACTAACACAGAGATGTGCTTTATGAGGGCTAGGGATGTGATTTGGTCAGTAATGTGCTTGCCATGCAAGGCCAAAGACTTGAGTTCCGATCCCTAGTTCCCCATCAAAGCAAAACCAGGGTGACTGATATCTGCAATCCAGTGCAACTACACGGAAATGTACATACAAGATACATGTGCGAGACACTGAAATAAGTGATTTAATCTAAGCACTTCTTAATTTAATCAAGCTGAACATCAAGGTTAGTAATCACAGGGAGTCTACAAAGAGAGTTCCAGCTCAGCCAGGGTTACACAGCCAGATCCTGTCTCAAAACTACTCCCCCTGAAAAAAGACTCCAAAAAACAAAACAAAACAAAAAAAAAACAACCCAACCACAGGGAGTTGAAAGTGCTCCCTGCTTCTCTTTTTCTCTCAAACACGGAGTTCATAGTGCTCCCCATTGCCTTTCTGTATAACTTACCTTCCTGCTGCTGTTATAAAATACTGTGATCGTCTAGAAGGAACAGGGTATTTTGGATTACAGTTCTAAAACGGAAGTCCATAATGGCAAGGAAGACAGGGTAGCTGGCTGCCGAAGCAGGAAACTGCCTGATCACGTTTCAGCTGCACCCAGGAAGCAAAGAGCACAAACTGGAGGTTGGACAAGGCTGCAAGTTCTCCAGGTCCACTCCTCCAACAAGGCTCTCACCCTGAAAGTGCCATCAACTGGGCACCAAGTGTTTCAGTACATCAGCCTCTGGGACACACTTCCCTTCACACCTTCTTCCTTTCTTCCTCCCTCCCTTCATTTCTTCCTTCCTTTTCTTTCTTAATGGTATCTTACTATGTTGTTTAGGCTAGCTTGGAATTGAGTAGGTACTTCAGGCTGGACTTGAACTCATGATCCTCCTGCCTCCATCTCCCGGATGTTGGGACTACAGTCAGAAGCCATCATGTCTACCTAGTGGGCAGATCTTAAGGATGTTGTCTACACAGAAAGAAGGGCGTGAGCTCCATTCTGGGTTTTCCAAGGAGTCATGGAAGGTATTTAAGCAGTTGGGAGTCACAGTCACAGCTGAGATTGGACAACTGAGCCAGTAGAGGACTGTCATGTAGACACAGGATGCAAGGGACCTGAAGAGGAGGCTATGAACTTGATACAGAAAACAGGACAGACTTGCAGGAAATCAGGAAAGAAAAAACAGAGCAGACGCTGAGTGAAGAAAAGATGGGGACAGCCACATCTACCTTGGAATCCTGGGGGGCCAGGCTACTCATGCGGAGTAGGCAGCAGGAGACCTCTGCCTGGCTTAAGCCCTTTTCTGGATAGAGTTTGGTCCTGAGACTCTGGCTGAAGTTTCTCTGGGGTTTCATGTGTGTTATGTTGCTTCCTGTCTCTGGCCTGCCCCTGCCCTGCAGGTCTCCCAGCGAATACATTGCTGCCATTTTGGAGCTCAGCTCCCTCATAATAAAAAGGCACCATCGGGTTATCCTGTATATGGACTTCCTGTACTACCTCACTCCTGATGGGAGGCGCTTCCGCAAGGCCTGTGACGTGGTGCACAACTTCACAGATGCTGTCATCCAGGAGAGGCGGAGTAACCTTGCTAGCCAGGGTGTTGATGACTTCCTCAAGGCCAAGACGAGGTCTAAGACTTTAGACTTCATCGATGTGCTCTTGCTGGCCAAGGTGGGCTTTTGTGGGATCTCGACTGAGAATTTAATCAAGAACCTTGACATTAAGTATTAGATGGAAGTTGGACTTCATCAAGAGGGCATTTGGGAAGCAATAGATGGTGTTTATAATAACTAAGGACAGGACACAGAGACGTTTTAGAAGTGACTCCATTGAATGCTATGTGGAAGGACAAACAACAGCAGGAAATTAAGGAGGAAACTGCAGGGACAGGCTCTGGAAAGGATAGAGAAGGCATTCTGTGTGCACAATGGGATCAGAACTTGTCTTAGGTCAGCATCGGGAATTCTCAGACATGGAATGAGTTGAGGGTTCTGTTTTGTCTTCAGGACGAACATGGAAAGGAGCTGTCAGATGAGGACATCCGGGCAGAGGCTGACACCTTCATGTTTGGAGGTGAGGGTCCCTGTGTAGGGCTACAATGAGGATAAGAGTCTATCAATCCCAATTAGACATCGTGGGGAGCCACCAGACCCCTCCATTCCATCCATCCATCCTTTCTTCATCTTTCCTTGGGGCATGGATGCCCAAGTACTATTTACTCTGAGGTGCTAAAACAGCCCAGACACCCAGTCCTTCTTGTCTGTCCCTCAGGCCATGACACCACAGCCAGTGCACTCTCCTGGGTCCTGTACAACCTGGCGAGACACCCGGAATACCAGGAGCGCTGCCGGCAGGAGGTGCGGGAGCTGCTGAGGGACCGAGAGTCTGAGGAGATTGAATGGTGAGCACAGGTTCAGTGCCATATACATAGCTGAGATCCAGAATGGTAGTTGCTGTTTTTGATTTGTAAAATTACATTGACTTATTTATTTGTGTGTGACTGTCTCTGTTGAGGGTGTGCGTGTGCCAAGTACGCATGTGGAGGTCAGAGGACAACTTTCAGAAATTGGCCTCTCCTTCTACTGTGGGCTCTAGGGGCTGAACTCAGGTCGTTAGGATCAGCAGCAAGTATCGTTACCTCCTTGGCTTTACTTTTGATTTTTTTGGTCTAGTTATATAGTTCAAGCTGGCCTGGAACTCACCATTCTCTTCTCCTGCGTCTACCTCTTGGAATCACCTGACCAGCTTGGCCATCACTTCTTAAATCTCTACTGTATGACCCCCGAGGGTTCCTGGATCATGTCTTCCACTTTCCTCTTGGATTATGTGTCCTTTGTGTGTTGATTTGCTTGAAATCACACACACACACACACACACACACACACACACACACACACACACACACTCACATTCACTCACACACATATCATGATAATAGACAGACAGACGACAGACAGACAGACAGAGGATTGTAGACATCCCTGAATGACTCCTTTGAATACTGTTGTGGTTCATAGTATCTTATAACATACAGATTCTTCAATTTTGTGAATAATATACTGACATTTCCTTCTGGTCTTTAAGTTCAAGCTTTTGGAGTTTTAAGAATTCCTGGTGTTCTGTCACAAAAAATGTCTCTTATGCTTTGTAGGTTTTTTGTCCTCCTGAATCAGTCTGGTAATGGGTGGGGCAGGTGGAGAATTGGTGAGTGGGTTCAGAATTGCACTTGGCTAGTGGCACTCCACATACTAGCCCACCTTAAAGAAGTGATAGGTCTTGGAAATGCTAGATGTGGTAAGGAACGTTAGAGGTCCAGTTTTTCAGATGTCGTGGAGAACTCCATGCTCTAGTCAGCACAGGCAAACACTTATTTCTACTTACTCACTTTTAAAAAGATTTATTTTTGCTTATGTTTGGTTGTGGGTATGTACACATGAGTGTGGGTGCCCTCGAGAGCCAAACGGTGTAAACCCCCTGGAGCTGGAGTAACAGGGGGTTGTGAGGTGCCCTGTGTGGGTGCTAGCAAGTGAGATCAGCTCCTCTAGAATAGCAGTGAGAACTCTTAACCTTGTTGGGACAGAGTCTCCTAAAGCTAAGACTGGCTTTCAACTCAATGGATAGCCTAAGCTGGTCTTAATCCTCCTGCCTCCACCTTCTGAATCTTGCCGCCATTTAATTTTTTAAAGGTCTTTCATATAAATATATGAAAGCATTTAATGATATTCTTTTTTTGGTAAAGATATATTTTGATAAGTATGTTTTTCTTAGAAATGTTTCTAAAAATATTAAGTAAATTTATCCACTTTTCCTTTTGATTTTCTAATGGTTTAATCTTTGATTCAGAGTTAAGGGTGGTAGCTCACTCCTCTTCTCTCAGCACTCATGAGGCAGAGGCAGAAGGATCAGTTCAAAACCATCCTCAGCTTTATAGGGAGTTCAAGGCCAGCATGGGCTATATGGAGACCTTGCTTGGAAACAAAACAAAACTACATATAGCCAGGTATGGTGGTACAAGTCTTTTAAGTCCAATACTTGGGAGGCAGAGGCAGGTGGATCTCTAAGTTTGAGGCCAGCCTAGTCTACAGGGAGTTTTAGGGTATCCAAGGCTACATAATGACACCTTGTCTGGAAAACAAAGTAAAATCTATAAAACGGCAGGGGAGATGGCTCAGTGGGGGTAATGTACTTGCTGCTAGCATAAGGACTTCAGTTTGATTTCCCAGAATCCACGTAAAAGGTTACCCCAGCACTGTAGCTCAGGGAGCAGGAGATCGGACTGTGCTGGCCAGCCAGTCTACCCTAAACATCCAGTTCTTACATTCAGGGAGAGACACTATCTCAAAACAGAAGATGTAGAGGGATAGAGGAAGATTCTCAAAGGTGACTTCTGGCCTACACAATACATGCACACACAAATAAAAATAAAAATCGTAAAATGAACAAGTAATTTTGATTCATCTAAGTGAACTTTGTTATAGGACTAATGATCAAAGGGGGGGCAGTAAGAATTTCAACAAGCAGCAGGGAGACTGGTCAGTACTGTTTACGTATTTGTGTGTGTGTGTGTGTGTGTGTGTGTGTGTGTGTACATGCAGTCCATGGTACGTGTGTGGAGGTTAGAAGAGAACTCTTGAGAGTTGGTTCTGTCCTATAATCTTGTGTGGTCTGGGTATTGAATTCAGGTCGTCAAGCGTGGGTGCCAGCCCTCTAATGCCAAGCCATCTAGCAGGCCGGGGCGTTGTTTTACTCCCTGGATAACTGTGTGGTGGTTCCTCAGGGACGACCTGGCCCAGCTGCCCTTCCTGACCATGTGCATTAAGGAGAGTCTGCGGCTGCATCCTCCGGTCACGGTGATCTCCCGCTCCTGCACCCAGGACATTGTGCTCCCAGATGGCCGGGTCATCCCTAAAGGTGTGGACTGAATGGGGAGGTGGCTCCTGGTGGTCCCCAATGACAGCTCTGACTTCCTTTTGACTGTCCCTTCTTGTCCATAGGGAACGACTGTATCATCAGCATCTTTGGGGTTCATCACAACCCTTCAGTCTGGCCAGACCCTGAGGTGCGACCCCGCCCAGCCCCCAATTTTGGGACCTGAGAGAGGGGCACGGTACTACCTGAAACCCAGAGGCTGTCATTCTCCTGTCCCCATATCCATCTTTTCTGGGGCTGGCTGGGTGTGCAGAGAGACACGACCCATCAGCTTAGTCTTGCTTGGCCCTCAGGTCTATGACCCCTTCCGCTTTGACCCAGAAAACCCTCAGAAGAGGTCACCGCTGGCTTTTATTCCCTTCTCTGCCGGGCCCAGGTGAGGCAAGAGGGCTTAGGGTGATAGAGAGTGATCTGGGCCTGACAGCGGGGAAAGGGGAATTGGGGTGGTTAGGTTCTGGGTCTCCTTCCCACCCTCTGCTCAGAGTATGTGCAAAGGTCTAGAGAGCCGGGATTGGAAGGTGAAGTGTGGTGAAGCTCTGTGCTCAGAGATTCGCCCTGGTCCGTCTTGGGCGCTGGCTGACTCTGAGACAGCTTCGGGAATGCGGATGCAAGACTCGGGGTCCCAGGAGCGTCAGTGCCCCTCCTGCCCCTCAGGCTGCCCGGGAGCGACAGGGACCTGGCCAAGTTCAAACCTTGGGGCCTGGCTGGGTCCGGACACAGTCAGAGTCCCCACCCCGTCCTCCCACAGGAACTGCATAGGACAGACTTTCGCCATGAGCGAGATGAAGGTGGCGCTGGCGCTCACCCTGCTGCGCTTCCGCCTCCTGCCCGACGACAAGGAGCCGCGTCGGAAGCCGGAGCTGATCCTGCGCGCAGAGGGCGGGCTGTGGCTGCGGGTGGAGCCGCTGAGCACGGGTGCACAGTGACTGGGCCTGGAACTGCCCCACCCACCCTTCTCAGACGATCCCGAATAAGGGGAGCCTCACCGAGAGCCAGTAGGGGGCGCTGCAGGACAGCAGAGAACCACCGGTGGTCTGGATGAGACGAGGTGGGGCTGGTTTCCTCCTGGGTCATCCACAGGACCTGTAGGCTGATGGGAGTCGCACCCAAGCTCAAGCATGGACTTATTCTTTTGGAGACGGGGAACCACAGATGTTTACCTGCAGGTTTGAGGATCTGTCAGCTAAGCATACTCCACAGTTTTCTTTTTTCTTTCGTTTTTGAGATAGGGTCTGACGACGTAGCTTTTAGTAGCTTGGAGCCCACTGCACAGACCAGGCTGGCCTCAAACTTGCAGCAAACCGCTGGCCTCTTTATCCGCAGTGCTGTAATTAGAAGAGTGGGTCACTGTGCCTGGCCTGTTACATCTGAAGGGATATTTGTAGAAATGAAGGACAGTTTCTCAGGAGAGAAGCCTGGGAGCCCTTGAGAATGATGTTAAGTGACGCTCAAGGCTTGTGATGTCCAAGGCCACTAAGGCAACTTAAATTTAAAGTGAAATCACTCTAGCAGGCTCCCTGTCTGGTGCTGTTCTTCTGGGTTCCCACTTATTCCTCTTGGGGCCGGAGAGGTGGCTCACTAGTCAGCCAGCCTTGCTCAATCAGAAAGCTCCTGGTTCAGTGAGAGATTCTATCTCAGGAAATAAGGTGGACAGTAATGAACAAAGACACCCAACATAAACCCCTGGCCTCCTCATGGCCATGTCTCTGTGTGCCCTGCACGCACAAACTCCTTTTTCTATCTCTTCCAGGATTTGATTTCTTCCATTCTTCCAGGAAGTCATTAAAAACTGTTGGAGTTGGAGGCTAGCCTGGGCTCTATAGAAAGTTTGAGGCCAGCACTGTGAGACCTTGTCTCAAAACTTAAAAACAAACAAAACCAGAGTTTTACATCTCTTTCACTTGGGAAATGACTTTAGAGAAATAATGTGCATCCCCCCCCCCCTTTAAATCTCTAGTGTTCTGTTCTTGTTTATAGACTGTCTTTGTGGTTTTGGCAGTACTCTTGTTGAAGACCAGGCCTTGTATGTGTTACACAAGTTTTCTACCACTGAGCTACACGTCTTGCTGATTCTGTTATTTTATTTACTTACATATTTTAGTGGTGTGTGTGTGTGTGTGTGTGTGTGTGTATGTAGGCCAGAGGGCAGCTCAGGTGTTGATGTTTAGGCATTCCGTCCACATCCTTTGAGACAAGGTCTCTCATTGGCCTGGAGCTCACCAATTAGACTAACCTCATTGGCCAGTGAACTCTAGGAATCTTCTTGCCTTCCCAGTGATCAGAGTATACTTGCATACCACTTTACACCCAATTTTATGATGGTTCTAAGGACTGAGCCCAGGACTTCCTGCTTAAAAGGCAAGCACATTATTCATTGAGCCATCTCCCCAGCCCCTTAAGTGAAATTTTATTTTAATTTTTATTAAGAAAAAATTTCAATTTATTTTACACACCAATCAAAGATCCTCCTCTCAACCCCCCCAGCCTCCCTACCCCTCCCCACAACAAGGCAAGGCCTCCCATGGGGAGGCACATCCAGTCGACACAAGTCCAAGTCCCTCCCCCTGCCTCAAGGCTTCTCCAGGTGTCCCATCAAAGTGGGCTCCAAAAAGCCTGCTCATCCCCCAAGCTCTCTTTCCCTCGACCCTCGCCTTTCATTACCCCCACTCATGTCCAGGCTGTTCATGTAGATCTCATTCCATTTCTCTGTCATTGGGCGATCCCTGTGTCTTTCTTGGGGTCCTGTTTTCCAGGTAGCATCCCTGGTGATGTGAGGAGCGGGAGATCCCAGCTGGATCAACAACAGAGAGGGAGAACAAGGAATAGGAGACCATGGTAAATGAAGACCACATGAGAATAGGAAGAAGCAAAGTGCTAGAGAGGCCCACAGAAATCCACAAAGATACCCCCACAACAGACTGCCGGCAATGGTCGAGAGACAGTCCGAACTGACCTACTCTGGTGATGGGATGGCCAAACACCCTAATTGTTGTGCTAGAAACCTCATCCAACTATTGAGGGATCTGGATGCAGAGATCCATGACTAGGCCCTGGGTGGATCTCTGGGAGTCCAATTAGCGAGAATGAGGAGGGTTTATATGAGCAAGAATTGTTGAGACCAAGGTTGGATAAAGCACAGGGACAAATAGCCAAATGAATGGAAACACATGAACTATGAACCAATGGCTGAGGGGTCCCCACTGGATCAGGCCCTCCGAATGGGTGAGACAGTTGATTGGCTTGATCTGTTTGGGAGACATCCAGAAAGTGGGACCGGGTCCTGTGCTCATTGCATGAGTTGGCTGTTTGAAACCTGGGGCCTATGCAGGATTGTTTGGCTCGGCCTGGGAGGAGGGGACTGGACCTACCTGGACTGAGTCTACCAGGTTGATCTCAGTCTGTGGGGAAGGCTTTGCCCTGGAGGAGATGGGAATGGGGGTGGGGTTGGGGGGAAGATGAGGGGGACGGGAGGGGGGAGAACAAGGGAATCCGTGGCTGATATGTAGAACTGAATTGTATTGCAAAATAAATTAAAATAAATTAAAAAAAAAAGAATAAAGATAACATAATAAAAATAAAAAAAAAAAAAAAGCCTGCTCATGCACCAGGGATGAATTCTGATCCTACCGCCAGGGGGCCCTCACACAGATCTGGTTACACAACTGTCTCACCATACAGAGGGCCTAGCCCAGTCCCATGCAGGCTCCACAGCCATTGTTCCAACTTTCATGAGTTCCCACTAGTTTGGTTTGGTTGTCTTTGCGGGTTTCCCTATCATGATCTTGATGCACTTGCTCATAGAAACTCTCTTCTCTCTCTCCTACTGGACTCCTGCAGCTCTGCCTGGTGCTTGGCTGTGGATCTCTGCATTTGCTTCCAACTGTCACTGGAGAAAAGCTCTGTGATGACACTTAGGGTATTCACCGATCTGGTCACTGGGGTAGTAAGCCAGTTCAGTTCAGGCACCCTCTCCACTATTGCTAGTAGTCCAAGCTGGGGTCATCCTTGGGGATTCCTGGGAACTTCTCTAGCACTTGGTTTCTCCCTATCCCCATGATGTCTCCCTCTATCATGGTATCTCTTTCATTTCTTTCCCACTCCATCCCTGTTCCAGCTCAACCATCCTGTTCCCTTATGTTCTCATCCACTATCCCCTACTCTCTGTGGTGGTATTTTACTTGTACTGAAATGTGATTTTAATTGTATGTTAATAAATAAAGTTGCCTGGGGGTCAGAGCTATTAGAGCCATAGCAAGTGCGTGGCGGCGGTGGCGCACGCCTTTAATCTCAATACCATAGAGGACCTGGAGGGCTGTACATACAGGCAGTGACAAGGCAGTCACATGTTTGGGTTTACAACCAATGAGAAGGCAGAACGGCTAGAGTATATAAAGACATACACACAGGAAGTAGGTCCCTTTCGGAGAGCTCTCTTGACTGAAGAGGATTGCTGAAGCAGGAAGGGTGAGGCTCTTAGCTCTGACCTCCTGGCTTTCTTCTCTGAATCGGCTCTGTGTTTCTTATTTAATAAGACGGTTGGTTACATCTACAACTCTCCATTGCCCAACCTTCACCCCCAGTTTACTCGTGGAGATCTCATCTATTTCCCCTTCCCAGGATGATCCACCTTATTAGCTAGTTTCTCTGGAGTTGTGGGTTGTAGTCTGGTTATCCTTTGCTTTATATCTAGTATCCACTTATGAGTGAGTACATACCATGTTTGTCCTTCTGAGTTTGGGTTACCTCACTCAGGATATTTTCTAGTTCTATCCATTTGCCTGCAAATTTCATGATGTCATTGTTTTTCTCGCCAAGTAGTACTTTATTGTGTATATGTACCACATTTTCTTTATCCATTCCTCAGGTGAGGAGCATCTAGGTTGTTTCTAGGTTCTGGCTATTACAAATAATGCTGCTATGAACATAGTTGAGTGCTGTGGGATGTTCTGTATGGCAAATGTGTTGCTCTGATTGGTTAGTAAATAAAACACTGATTGGCCAGTAGTCAGGCAGGAGGAAGTATAGGCGGGACAAGGAGGAGAAGAATTCTGGGAAGTGGAAGGCTGAGGCAGAGACACTGCCAGTTGTAGATGTAACCAACCTTCTTATAAAATAAGAAACACAGAACCAATGCAAAGAAGAAAGCCAAGAGGTCAGAGCTAAGAGCTAAAACCTTACCCTTCCTCCTGCAGTGGTCCTACCTCTCCAAAACAGAGCTACCCCTGTGTTAAAGTCTTTATATAGAGTTCCTGTCCTGCCTTCTCATTGGTTGTAAACCCAACCACATGACCACCTCCTCACGGCCTGTCTGTATAGGCCTCCAGGTTTTCCATGATTGGTATTGAGATTAAAGGCATGTGTATCCAATAATGGCTGTATCCCTGAACACACAGAGACTTACCCAGCTCTGCCTACCAAGTGCTGGGATTACAAGCGTATGCCACCACTGCCCTGCTTTCCTATGGCTTGCTAATAGCTCTGACCCCCAGGCAACTTTATTTATTAACATACAAATAACATTTTAATACAAATAAAATATCACCATATTTCCCCTTTTCTATTTTAATAAAAAAGAAAAAAGAAAAAGCTTATAACAAATGTAAGAAAAACTATATACAAAAGTACAATAACTATATACAATATATACAAGTAATAAATACCTAAACAATGTCTAGCTCATTTGTATTTGACAAATTCAGAGAAAATAATTCCATTATCTATTCTATTGTATCTAATTCACTTTCTATCCTAATTAATCTTCAACTATAACTAACTAATCTTCAACTCCCTCAGAGACCCAAGAAGGAAGTAATATTAGCTAACAAAAAAATAAAAACAGGAAGTATATGTAAGCAACTTCCAAAAAATTGTGAGTTAACAGATACAGCCAGCTGCCTGGACAATCATCTGAGGTTTCTCCGCAGTGTTGGGGCATCATCTTCAGCCTATAGGCTTAACGTATCTGACAGACTCATTTGTGAAGTAGGATGTACACAAGGTCAACAGTTCAACCTCACTTTGGGTGAGAGCAGTCCACGTACCAGAAACACCTGAATTCCACTAGTGTCATGTCATGATTCAGGATTTTAAATTCTGGAAATTGTTGATGTTTTTTGAATTCAGCTGTCCATTCTTCTTGGCTATGTGTGTTTGTGGCTTCATTTCAGCATCCCGTTCTTCTCCACATCCCTCTATTAAATGCCATTCTACTGTTGAGAGGTGTGAGCTTAATTACTCTTCAAGAATAACTGTTTCAACTACCTTCCCATTGCACATCAGAAGCCATCGGCCCACTGCCTGTTCAGCTGCCTTCAAAGAAAAGGGCACTGTACCTTTCCCGGATTGCAAAGGCCACTTCAGGGATGGTGCCATATTGTCCTGGCCTCAGAAGATGCCTTTTGATAAAGCCATAACCACACTTGTTTTGGCAAGAATCAGTAGTCCTTTGTTTCATGTCCTGTCTGTCCATTTTGTCAACAGCTGTTTCGAGGATACTTTGTTGTCCAGTGGCTAACTTTTGCCACAATGAAAGTTAACTCCAATTGCAGTTTTTCAATGCCCATATTTTCTATGAAGTAGATTGGTACTGCCAGGAGCCGACATGTCTCATAGCCATAACAAAAAAGAAAAATTTTCTAAGTTATTAAAACATTTTAAATGCCATATTCTGTAGATCTCTGAAGGGTTTGAAGATAACCTGTCTATCTAAAATATATCTACTCAATCTTGAAAACATACCTAATATAACTACAAGTTCTATTATAATGTCTAACTACTAACTTTCATTTCTTTATATCCTAATAGTTGGTAATAACATTCAAGGATCAGAAAATTGCATTACATTGTTAGATGAACAGTACAATTAGAAATATACATATAACATTTTCTAACAATATCAATTTCAATATATATAATTTGTATACAATATAAAACAATCCAATCCAATGTAAAGTATTTACATTTTTCTTTTCTTTTCTTTCTTTCCTTTTTTTTAAATAAGAACCTTAAATCTAATCTCCTTTGCTTAGCCCTTTTCCTCATCCTTGACAACAAC